CATCAATATATGCACAAAAACTACTTCATATGTATAAATGATGAACGATGGATGGAGTCATGTGGTAAAGAGGCAAGATACCGTAGTAAGAGGCGGAGGTGCTCCTGGTCTCCGATCACGTCGTACTTCACCGAGAAGACCAGGTGTCCGAGAACACTGTCCACTGAGTAGTAATTGAAGTGCTCCTTCAGACCAAGAAGGGTTAGGGTTAGTGGAGGCATATCTTCTCCCCACTCTCAGCTACAAATGTGTAAGGAAAAGTAGTGAAGACGCCCCAATGTTTTTAGTTGATCATTTGAATACAGACAGTGTTAGCAATTTATGATCATGGGGGAAGGCAGGGAGAGAATGGCAGTTCCATTTGGCACCACTAGGGTGCTAAGGAAGTACAGTGTCCAGAGAAGTGGGGGGGGGGGGGGCTTTTAGGGTATAAGGGGGGTAAAGAACTGTCCTTAATTTGAATTTGAGCTGCCTTTCAATACCTGGTGTATTTCTACACTGTATTACATTATATGATTTTTACTGTTCAATAAACCACTGCAAATGAATTCCTGGATGCAACTGTTAATTAACTGGGATGAAATTCAGCTCTGTAAGTATGCTCACAGAGTAAATGACTGCCGCAGATCTTTTTTAAATAGCCTAATTAACCTGGAAAAACCTTGTATTTGGAAGAAACAAACTATTACAATTGCCATCTTTGAATGATTGTCATCTTTTTCCGTCTGTGACATACACTGGGTTCAGTAAGGACTTACTTTTTAATAGTGCCTTGAGAGACAGTGAGGGTATTTGTGCATATTTAACCCTGAGTTTTCAGCATCTTCTCGAGTCGGACATAATGATCCCATTATCTGACACCAGTAACAAAGAGTTGCTGTGACTGTAATTCGATGGCCTAATGGGACACAATGCAATGACCTTGTCGTTCATGTTACCAGAAAGGGACTGTTATAGAGTCATCATTAAAAAACCCATGGAACAAAGTGTTGTGTTTCTGCTTGACAGAAGCTGACTGGAAGTGCTCCCGACACGATAACGTGCAGAATGAGGGCGTGTCTCCCAGCCCTGTGCTGGGCGAGAACTCTCACCTTTCCCAGGAAGTGTTTCCTGTAGATGACGGCCATGGTGTTGCACTCCAGCTTAATGCGAGACGTGGGCGACACCACCTGTTCGGGGTCAGCGGCACAGCTCAGCTCATGATTGGTGCCCTCGATCCAGTAGCCGCCAAACTGCGGCAGCAGGATCAGTGGGAATGGACTTTTGCGGCCCAGCACCTGGAAACCACAACAACAGCAAGGCAGCCAATCAGGTCTATCGAGCAGTAAATCTGAACACTCTAACACACTGAGTCGCTTAATACTTTTCAAATACAACTGAAAGCACATCTTTCGATTGGCATTTTAACCAGTCCATTTGTTTTCCTAATCACTTATATCATTATGGTATTTTTTGCTTGTGATTTTCTACTATCTATTTCATTTATTTCTTATCTCACCATTTTGTTGCTACATCCATAAAATGCAATATTATTTCCAATTTTTGCTAGTTTATAGTTGAATAACTTTAACCTTTTCATTCCTTTATATTTTATCATATTTTATTCATTTACGAACATTTACAAATGAAAGGAGGCCATTCGGCCCATCAAGCTCATCTGGGGAGAACTCAACTAATAGCTCAGAGTTGTTAGAATCTTATCTAGCTCTGATTTAAAGGACCCCAAGGTTTTAGCTTGCACTACAGTAACAAGAAGACTATTCCATACTCTAACTAAACGCTGTGTCCAATCCAGTTAGTATATGTTTACATAATAATAATAATAATAATAATAATAAAAACAATAATAATAAAAACAATAATAATAATAATTTGACAGGTAGTGTATGTTTATATAATAATAATAATTTAACTGGGAGTGGTTTTATTTGAGTGATTTCTTCCATCCTTCTAGAATTTCATTGGTCTGTAAGTTAGTTCCTTCTCAGTCTTTGGTTTTATTTTAATCGTATATGTGAAGCACTTCATGCATGAAAAATGCTATTTAAATAAAGATCATTATTATTATACTCTATACCAGAGTGCGAGGACATGCAATGGGGTAATTGGACTGTTTGCTGTTTATTTACAGCGAATTACCTCATGAACACTGGGATAAGGGATGTAGTCTTCTTCCGTCTGTGGGAAAAAAAGGATTTGTCATTTCTCCTTGCAAGCTATAAATTTTTGTTTATAAGGACTCATATCCAAATAATGACTTGCCCAGTGTGTTAACAAAGTACAGATTTTTTAGCATTTTTGCTGGTTGTCGCAGCTCATGTCTGCAGAGCAGATAAGCTGGAGTTGCCGCTGTCTGGGTGCTAATTTTTCCTGCATTTTCTGCCCTTAAATGCATCTCCACATTCCCCACAGAGACAGACACACAAATGGCTCACAAACAAGCCAGTGACCATAACAACTGGACTGCTACTGTTTTCTTGTGTATAAACACAGTCCAGAATAGAATTTCTTCCCCATACAAGTAAATCATGATGTCAGTGTACCTCACAAAAAGAAAAAGAAGGCCCAACGTCCATCTGGGGGTCTTTTCTCTGAATGCACAAATGCAGAGCAGAGGCTGACTGGCAAAGGGAACACAATGCAGATCTATTTCCTTTTGCTATACTGTCAAAGAAACAACTATTTTCCACCCTTCTTCCCCAAGCTAGCATGGCCCATGGGTGTCATAGGGGCAGGAATAGCCTGGCACATTCAGGGGATCCAGCACTTTATGGGGGTCCTCAGAATATCATTTTGGGGGCCTGGTCAGTGCAATCTAACGAAGGGCCCAGTGTGGCATTTTCTCAGGGGGTGCAGTGTGTCTAGCTCGGAACCTGGGAGATGGGTTGTACCTTAAGGGGCGGAGGGAAGGCGCACCTCTGCTCATCCATCCTGTTGCTCTGCAAGATGAACAGGAATCACGTTCAGGCAGCATGAGTCGTGGCATCACAGGCCCCATCAAAACCATAGCAACACAATCTCGGCGAATCAGGGCAGCTCCTAAAACATGACAGCAATCCACTCCTTCCCGGGAACGTGGCAAAGGATCACTTTGATTCTACCTTCTAAATCACACCTGCAGCTAAATAATTTACATGTGAGCTCACAGACTCTGTGAGAACAAAGGGGCCAAACGAAAATGGGGCAGAGAATGAAGCATGAGAAAAAGAACAGGGTTCAAATGTGGGAAAGAGAAGCTTCATCTGTGTCCAGAGTGTGAAAATGAGCATGAACAGACAGCCACAGAAGGGCGAGGTCCAACAAGGACACAAGGCACTGGGACAGTGAGAGCCTTTGAAATCACCACGGCCAGCAAGAAAATTGATAAGAATTTGATATAAAAGGAGGAGGTAAAAGGAACTAGTGGTGCCAACAGGAATGTTTTGATGTGCCTGAATTGTTGCTTAGAAAGTGCCGGAGTTATCAGAGATCCCTGCAACTCATTCTGACCTTGAGCCGGAACAGTTTGAAATCTGTAAAGTGTGTGACCAGCTCAGCCAGACTCATCCTGATGAGACGCTCTCTTAAAGGCATTGCTGTTTGCCAGACTCATCCTGATTAGACGCTCTCTTAAAGGCATTGCTGTTTGCCAGACTCATCCTGATGAGATGCTCTCTTAAAGGCATTGCTGTTTGCCACAACGTGCCGAGACCACACCAACCCTTTAAGAAAGTTCAGCGCATGTGTTATGTCTTAAATCCATCTGGTTATGTCCTACATGTGCAGCTGCATCTTCAGGTTTTTTAAATATTTACCTGCTGTACCTAAATAAAATTACGCAACAACTCCATGCTCTGTGTCATAATGCCACCTTTTTGACAGGCAAGGTGACAAGACAGAGGCTTGCAGACCAAAACTACATTTCCATGCTGCCATCAAGGCTGATCTATACTTCTGTGTTGGATCAACGTCGTCAGTGCGGCGTAGCTGTGGACCTTACACCATAGTCCTTGCTGTAGCCTGACGTGCACCTCCCCAGAAATGTACCTACACGTCGCGGTAAATTGTTTTTAATAGGAGTGAAGAAAGCGTACATCCCAGTATATCTGTACTTATATCGCTGATTGAAACTGAAGCGCTAAATAACCCACCCTGGGGATCAGAGCAACAGGGCTTCAGAACTCTCCGGATGATGCCGCCAATTTCACTTACCTCCATTACGTTTATTCGTACTTTATAAGACTAAGAAATAGTAAAAAATAGTATAGGTACTAACTTTAGAAGGGGAAATGTATGTCATTTTTCCAAATTTCTCTACTGGAAGTTTGGAGCTGCACAAATATAACCTGGACTCAAAAAAATGGATACTTTGTTTATGTTTCATTTCTGTTTCGATTGCATGATTCAACAATTGAATATATCGCAGGGTGGGAAGACAATATATTCTACACATCCAACATTACGCATCACCCAGCGTTTTGGCGGGGTATTGACTAAGCGACACAGACACATCAGCACACTTAAATGCTCACTGCAGAGTAGGTCAGGGCGTAAGCTCGATGCAGAAGCATCCAACAGCCTTACCAGTAGCAAGGCCGAGGATGAAAGGGTTCTGATTCAGTTAGTGAGGAGAGCATTAGCAAAAAGAAAGTCACATGGCACATTTGTGCCAAGAAAAGAGCATTAAATCCAAAAAGTTCATAACCTGAAACATTTTTTTCAGTGAAGAGAAATCTTTATTTCAGAATGGTCAGAGGTTGTTAGAATAGTTCAGCTTTCAAAGAAATGTTAATCCAAAAGAGGTCCAAAAAGGCAAAAGGGAAAAAAAACCCCTTACCTGCACCTTCTCAATCATTTCAAATAATTCTGTGGTCTGGAAAAAGAAAAACTGGATGAAAAGAAGAAGAAATGTTTGAAGGCTATGATATGTGCTCAAGGCTATTCTGACTAATGCTAATTTTTAAATGCTGTACTAGCTTCTATGGTACAGCTACATAATTACCCTGGTCTACTCCATGTTTAGCATCATCCAGAAGTGGATATTTCAGGTCCAGAAAGTAAAAATCCAGACCAAGACTTTATTCAACCAACCAGTTGAGTATAAAGAGTCACAGTCGCAGAGTACACTCAACTGGTTGGTTGAAACAAAATCTTGGTCTGGATTTTTACTTGCTGGACCTGAAATGTCCACCTCTGACACATAGGACACTGCTGTCCACATTAATATTTGTAACGTTCATTATCATGAAGATACTAGTCCCCCACAACACTGGCAAAGGCATCAATGAAGCTGATTTCACTGTCCACTCCAAGTGCCTGTGCCTCTGACGGAGACCCAGTTTACCTGGCTTTACCCGCTATTACCCTCCACCATGTAAGAGTAAATCAGCGGGAAAATCACCTAGATAAAAGCAAAGTGGCAATGCAGAGAGCAACAGTGCTTGGTAAGGTTCAATCCGCAAGATCAGATGACAGGCACAAAGGTTCAGGGCCGGGCATTTTGACAAACATAGCATGAAGGTCGAATCCCAACAAACACCAGTTAGCGGAGCACCGTTGCTAATCTGCTACGGTAGGTTGTACAATGAGGAGCAGTGCCACCAAACACCTGACAGGGAGCACAGAGAGTCTGGGCCACTGTCCACAATGCAAAACCACGCAAAAGCACACCGACCTCCCAGCTGTACACAAACAGAACTACACTCAAACCGCACTAAACCCTACACTGGTGGATTTTTTCACTTCTGGAAACCATATATGCAACAATGGATTTGTACTATATATCACAATATATTACGTAAAATGCATAAAATATATTAATATAATCATTAATTACCAAAATCATAGACAGTCTGTCGCAAAACAAAATATTAATATCATTCAAAACTCCAGTCAATCAACAGTATTCAAATAAAAAAATACAAAGCACTAATTAAGTTTTAGGATTTGTTGTCAGGTTGTGGTGTTTAAGCAATGACTTCATACCACGAGTGACTCGTGGTGCAGATTGCGGGCAGCCCTGCGGTCGATGGGACACTTACTTTGTCTCCCAGTCTCGCCATGACCCTGGGGGGGCCTCACGTTGCCACGGTGACTTTTAGCCGATCTCACAGCACCTTTACAGCTCTTCCATAGAGCGAGTCACTAAGAGGAGGCCCATCGGCACTGCGAGGCGCAGTGTCACTCTGCGCACGTGCGTGGGGGGGTTGCTGCTCCGTGTCTCCCCGGTCTATGCCAACGCTCCCCTAGCAGACACAGTGTGGGTGTCCCATCCCTACCCCCGCCTCAGCCGTGACTATTGTGCTCGCTCCCTGGCACAGGATCCCCAGAGGCGGAGCCTCTTCAGCTCCCCCCCCCCGGACAGGCCCCCTGCACCCCCAGCCCCCGATGGCAGTGAAGATGGAGCCCTGAAGTATTACCACCAGCACGCACCACAGCAGATACATGCTTCTCTGCAAGCAAAACCCTCAACTCCACACCCTTATTCCTGGACCTTTCAGACAAGTACACATCAAACTTCAAACAGCAGTAACATCCATGATGCTTCTGAAGTAGGCAAAGGCCTGGATGTGCCATATTACATCCAGATGGGAAACAGCAGCCATTGATTAAATAAAAATTACTGGTAGCACCTTAATATGGAACCACTTTTACAAGACTACCCTAATAAAGAGGTTTACGAATTTTTTATAATCAGCTAATTAATCATAAATCATCAGTAGACAATTATAAACAATAAAAAAACAAAATATAAAAAGTTATTACAGATCTCTCTTTTAATTAATGAATTGCTAGCATTTGGAAGTGGCACAAAGGAGCCGTATTGTAAAATGGTCTTTTAGTTTTGGGTTTTGCTCTTTAACATTTAGCAAACCGCTTCTAATCATTTGATAATATATTTAAAGATTCACTCACAAACAAATTTAGAAATGTTGCAGTCATATTTTATCCATATTTTGCATAGTGTTACTTTGTACACCAGTTTCATCCATGCAGAAACTTAGAGGAAATCATGTCACTGTGGCTTTAAATGTGGTTTTCCATATGGGATTAAACTGGCACTCGAATTTCATTACTCTGCACTGCATTTTACTCTGGCTTAGTGCCCTTGTCAGATGCTCGGTCCCATTTCATATTAATAATGCGACATTAGTACAATGCAAAAATATAAAATGGACCTACATTAACGAAAAGGTCATAATGCACTTAACAGACCTCTTAAAATGTTGAGAGGAACACCCTGAAGTTCACTTTATCATGGTGAGTTAGTGCCAAACTCAAAAAAAAAACAGTAAATAGATCAAATATCTACCACAGACTGGCTCAAGAATCATTCACAAACTAGATTGAATCTCAGTCATATATAAGATTATAGCATCAATTACAATGCACATTACAGATCAACCAATCAGATTGAGCAATTAGGAGTACAAACACAATGTTGTGAAAAAGGTACGAGAAACAGGGGGATGATCATGTTCATTAGCTACTCATTCCTGGTGATCACTGAACCCGAATTTCCAAGCAATCAGGTACCATATGCGTACTATATGGACATCACCGGACATATCTTCCTCACCGATAGTCTTTCTGTTATTGGTGTCTAATCAGAAGCCTTCTGTTGCATTCTCTCCTCCCCCCTGTTGCCCAGCCTAATAAAGGGGAATCCCTCAAAAATAAAGTTCTAATTTCTAAATTCCCTGTTCCGCTGCCTTTCCCAGAAGCCGGGAATCAAATTCTAGTTTCAGATCAAAATTTTGCCATGACTACTCTGTAACATGCTGGTAAATTCGGCAAGGGATAGATAAATATTGCAAATGTAGATATGAAATAGATAAAATGATTTTTCCTTTCCCTGCATTTGAGCTGTAACTGAAATTCCACTTAATTTCTTTGAGTCTTTGAATGAACTTCAGTAATTGGTACAAATCTGTACATGGTTCTCTGGTCATTCTTTCCTAGGATTCACACAAGACTATACACCGTTTTCTGTTCAGATACTTTTACACATCTACCCACAAAAATGTTTATGTGTACTGTTCTCTACATTTCCTTATCAAGGCAATGGGGAACCACATCAACTCCCACTGTATGGCCACCACCTTGATGATGCAACGGCAGCCATTCTGCACCAGTATGCTCACCACACAGCAGCTAAGGTGGTGAAGGGACAGGAGAGAATTAGGTATAGGGGAAGATTAGGAGGCCAGATTTGATAGGGCCACAGTGGGCAATTGCAGCCAGGGGTACCACCAGAACCTTTCAAGAGATGCCCAGGGGTCTTTTGTGACCCCAGAGAGGCAGGACCTCAGTTTTAAGTTTTAGTCCCAAGGATGCTGCCATTTTTATAGCACAGTGTCCCCATCACTGCATTGGGATCCACACAGACCCCAGGATGGGCTTAACCAGTCAGCCACACCAAACCACTTCCAGGAGCAGTCCAGCTTTCCTAGTTGGTCTCCCATCCAAGCCCAGGCCAAGCCCAAACCTGCTTAGCTTCAGAGTAGATAGTCTGAACTAAACTGCAGGTGGTATGGCCTCTGAGGAATAAATAAAATAACATATATGGAATTATGCACTGATCAAAAAAGTATTAAACAAAAAATAACAGTTTGTTGGGGGGGGGGGCAGCTCTGTGATGTGGGACTCAGTAGATTGCCGGTTCAAATCCTGTGGTTGTCAGAGTGATCCTACCATTAGGCCCTTGAGCAAGGCCCTTAAATCACAGTAAACCAGCTTTGGTATAAATGACTGTGTACCAGCTTCGGTATAAATGACTATGTATCAGCTTCGGTATAAATGACTGTGTACCAGCTTCGGTATTAATGACTGTGAATCAGCTTCGGTATTAATGACTGTGTACCAGCTTCGGTATAAATGACTGTGTACCAGCTTCGGTATTAATGACTATGTGCCAGCTTCGGTATAAATGACTGTGTACCAGCTTCGATATTCCTTTATGACCAAGTAGAACAAAGCTGGGCACCGGCCAGGATGCTGAGGTCACCGGAGACTTTGAAGGAACATGCTGGACGCTAGAGTCCCTGAAAGACTGTCTAAGGTCACCACATCACACACCTCCCTTCAGTGAGCTTCTGATACCACTCCCCTCTCTCTCTCCTTCCCATCAGGAGGTTTCACTCGACTGAGGGCCCTGTTTTCCCTGCTCCTTTCCATACCATTCTTTGGGTGACTACGGTTATTTTAGTGACCTCTTTTAACTTATCTTACCTCCGTCTGAAGGAAGCCTCATTTTACTGTCAATCACTCACTGGTGGGTCAAACACCATGTGCTTCCAGCTTGGTTCTCTATAAAAATGAACCCATCTCTGCATTTAATCATAAACTAACATTTTCATTTTTGAGGTTTAACACCCTAAGGTAAAACAAAAGCAGTTCATGACTTTGCTCCCTCCCAAGTTCCTGCCAGACAGCCCACATTTTTGCTCCCTCGAGCAAAATCAAGGATTGTCTGGGGGGTCCCTGAGGACCGGGTTGGGAGACACTGAACTAAAGAATTTATCAAGCACAGCAGCTGTTCGCTGTTCTGAACTGTCTTTGCTCACTATAGTAAATGGAGACGTGCTTTTAGCTTATTGGCTAAAGTGTGACACGCTCGGGAGACTGGAGTCACGTCACGACTGCCCTCTGCTCTGGGCCTTCTAGCTGAAAATGCATAAAAACATTGTTCTTTTGAAAATGTAGCCATTATTTACAGCGAATACAGAGACAGAACCAACAATGAATAGCAGAAAACGAAACAATTCATCTCTGTCATAACACTCACTCAAAGAAAAACAACAATTTAACATTTAAAGAGACAGTTCTCCAGTTTTATAGCCACAGGAAGCAAACAGAAGGTAGAATCGGTTTCTTTGTGGAGCAGATTATTGATGGATGTGCAGGAAGCGGGCCGATACTGGCAGAGCACAGCATCAAGAACGCTGAAAGGACGCCGATGTGTGATCCTTAGGGCTCACAGCCCCTTTGTGCCTTCAAACAGAGCTCCCCTGTCCTGGATGGGTAGCATTCACAACCAGGCAATCTTCTGTCACACGTTTCAACCCCTTAAAACCCATCCTGCATCATTCAGACAGTGACTCCAGTGCTAACGTTACTTCCACGAAAGAACTTTGGTTCTTGGTTCAAATGAAGAACCTAAGCCCGGGATGCACACCACTGGTACGCCAGCGGGCATATTCACCGTTAAAGGCAATACGTGCGGCATATTGTTTTATGTGCATTTGTGCTGCTATAACATGAACTTACCATACATTTGAACCTTTATACCGCAAAGTACGAAATAGCATATAAACGTTAAAATGCACAACCATTTCTTGTCATATCAGCGCAAATGCGCATTAATTGCGTATGCATTTGCGCTGTTACAACAATCAATTACCGCACGTTTATCGCTTTTTGAGGTGAATGCGTACATGCATACCATTTATGTGCATCCCTGATCATAAACCATGCTTTGCACACTGCAATGCTAATGCAGAATAATGCGTGCAAAATGTGCAGCCACTCCTGCTAGTCTAGCATGAATTAGGAAAAATTGCATTTTATGTGCATTGTTTAAGCCACACATTATGGATTACGAGAAGGAACTTCAGCAGGAGTGGTGCTGGATGTCATCCAACTGCTGTCTAAGCACCTCTTGGCAGACAAAGCGCTCAGCAAGCTGCACCCTGTCCCTGAGTTTTCACCCGCAATTTCCAGCAGAGGGAAGCAGTTCACTTCAGGAGAGTGCGTGACCTTAGTGAGCAACATGTACGGGAGCATAAGTATATATCTACAGATACGGGTCGGTGAAGATGGGAGGGGAGAAATGGAAGTTCAGAAAAGAGAGACGAGGATAGAAGCAGATGGACTGAGAACAGAGAGGGGAGGTGATCGGGAGATCAGCGGAATTTCTGCTAATAGTGCAGAAACCAAGGAGGTCCAGGAAATGATTACACCCACGCTACCTTCACAAACGGCAGAGCGGTCAGCGGAGGCGGGGCTTGGAAGGACGCTGGCGCTAGTGTGCTTGAGACACGATCTCCTCCATCCTGTTTCCTGAAAGCCAGAGAGACACAAACGATGCTGGTAACATGAACAGAGACGTGAGAGAGACGTGGGGCTGGGAGGGGCTGGGTGGGGCCGGGTGGGGCCGGGAGAGGCCGGGTGGGGCTGGGAGGGGCCGGCCACACTTAATGCCATGTGGTGTTTGGGTGCCAAACTGCAGGCAGCATTCTGAAAATCCCCATTATTGAAATACCAGGGAATCCAATATATAACATTTTCAGTCAAACCTATTTGCATCCCAGGCTAAACCGACTGCACAAGTACGAGGAAATTAGAGTGGGTTTTAATTCTGGACTACAGATATAGTGAGCATCTGCAAAATCATCACTGCGTTGTATCGTTTTGACAAAAACAAATTACATTCCTTATACAACAAAGCATTAGTTGTCAACTGCAGTCTGCGTAACATCAAGCTGCCAGCTTTCCCAAAGCTGTACAGAGATGACATGCCTGCACAACACTGATTTTTATCTTTTCTCCTCAGTTCTCGAAATGTCTCCCAGGAAAATAAAATGCTGAGAATGTAAGACCAGAAAACGACGACAAAACAGCAACAGAATACAAAAAATATTCCTGATATACTCTTCCGGTGCTTCTTTGGCAATAATGTGCCATACAATGCTCAGTTAGTCATTTTTAAACATGCCCCCAAACTGCAGTTGTTTGAAAGGTTATCCTTACAGACACTGCATTAAAAATGCAGTCGTTAAAAACATTATAGGTTAGAATTACACATATTGTACATCAGTGCCTCACTAGAGTGTTCCAGCAGTCTTTGGCCTTGGCAGGTGCTCTGTGTGTTGAGACCTCTAGTCTAAACGTGGTACTGAACTGCGCGGTTTGTCTCCTGTGCATCAAGGCATCGGCCTGACCTGCTCCGCGTATCCTGGCTTTGCCGATATGCACTAGCAGACCTGCCAAGTCGCTTCTCCCACACTCCCACAAGGCCTTTGCTTTTGGCACACATTCATGTTTAAGTATTTTTTAAATGTATTTAAGTTTTGTCATTTTAGCACATTTCTCCATCAGGGCTCATTGGCACGGGCAGAGTCACCTGCTGATTAAACTTTAAAACATTTCTTCCACCTATTTCTGACATGTAATTAAAAGATTATATCCGTTTATGCATAAGAAGTACGTACTGTATATTTTGTCTTCCATAATTCATTTGGCTGGGAAAAAAGTGGCTTCAAATCAACCAGTTTGAAAGAAAAATCTTTAGGAATAGGAAATATATGGAATATTCCAGCCTGGTGACCCTCAAAAAAGCAAATTCTCGCCAGTCCTCCTGCAAATTGGCACAGCACCCTTGGCAAGCCTGAAGTAGGTAAGTATGTCACATGTCACATGAAGCAGCCGGAGCCTCGACCGCCTGTCACTGGGGGTCTCATCTGATATGGCATCATTAAGGTAGTTATGTGAGCAGCTCTGAGCAGGTATGAGAGATGAGAGACTAACCTCTCAAATGCCAGGTGACAAGCAAAGCAAGGATCAGACTCTTTATGTTTTAATGGGATTCTGTCTCTGTATGTTTCAATGAATCGTATCAGTTTCGTGGGCCATTCGCACCCAAGGTCTTAGGTAACACCTGTTCCCAGCGCCACACCTATTGTTCAAAGAATTGCTCTCACAAGAGGAGGAGATGCCCAACACTTACTTTTCTAAAATATCACATGGAGTATAAAATCTTAGAATTGCTGAGATTCATTTCATTTGACTTCTACACTGCTTGTCCTATATACGGCCGCGGGAGTCCGGACCCTATCCTGATGGGTGCAAGGCAGGGAATAACCCCGGATGTGGCACCAACCCATTGCAGGGAGATTACAGGAACGGGAAAAAAATGGAAATAAGCTCACCCTGTGTGTATGTATGCATGTTCTCCCAGGGCTGAGTGAGTGAGTTTTTTGCAGGTAGACTGGCTACCAAATGTAGTAGTATGACATGCATTTAGCCTCTAAATTGCCCATAGTGTGTGATTTTGAGAAAGTGCCCAGTGATGGACTGGCATCCAGTGATGGACTGGCATCCAGTGTAGGGTCTTCCCCTGTGCTGCCCTGTACTGCATAAACATTAGGAAGATGGATTGCATGGCTTACAGTTGATGTTCTGCAAATAGCTGCTTTTTAAATGTAGGAAATATACAGGGAACTTCAACATATCACTGTTGTTTCAGTATAACACTGGTGAACACAATGACAATACTCGTAACAATGACAATACTCGTAACAATGACAATACTCAATGGGATGAGGCGCAGCTTCCTTCCCAGCAGACCCTACCAACGGTTCCTCAGTGAGCGATACTCTGCATCCTGAGTAATCCGACTGGACCACACTGCTGGTACCACTTTCCGTCTCAGCCTCTCCGACCACAGAGCCTCTCGGACCCGGCACTGAAGATGTTCACGCTAACGCCCGGTGGACCGGGTTGACTTTCATGCCCCTTAACCCCTCCAGTCTCACCTTGTGCCAACTTCAACACCCAATCCCTAAACTAAAGCTCTTCTGAGGGAATGGCACCATGCTCTCCAAGCCTCAGCAGACCCATCAAGGTCACCGCTGTCAGCATCTTCCCAAGCTCCCATTTACAAGAAGTTAAGGAATAAGTCAAATCAAACTTCCTTTAGGCAGTGGTGGAGATCCTCTGTGGAGTCCCCTGTGACTGTGACTTGTTATACTCAACCCTGAAATGACTTGAGCCCAATGGGCCCCAACAAGGTATCAGGTTTCGGGCTGGGTTTTAGATTTCCTGGTACTAGTTGGGCTGAGTCCGATCTGATCTGAAGGTCTCAGGTAAGGGCCAGACTCAGGCTTTCAGGCCCAAACGGGACCCTAGTCTTATGGGATGTACAGGCCCTTATTTGCCAGGGCATGGAGACAACCTACATTAAACCTGGTCTCCATGGCCTCCACACTCACTGATTCTCTGTATTTTTTCTGCCAATCACTTTCTATTTTGTACATGCACTCTGCTTCTAGGCACTAGCATGCTAATTCCCACGAGACTGTCCTCTACATCAGTTCATCTTAAAAAGACAGGAGCCTATGAAATTACACCACAGCAGTGCAGCCCGGCAGACATCCAGTTCCCTCCTGGCATCAAGACGAGAAGATTGCTTTTAGCAATTTATCACTTGCAATATGCCATTAGCTCCCTGCTAACAAGTACCTTCTATAAGCTATAACTGTGTGTATGTAGAGCCCATTTCCCTTTCTGAGAAATGACAAAACCACAATATTAAGAAATGGGACGGCAGAGAGTCGGCCAAGAAGCAATCTGTAGCTCAACCATGTCTTCAGGTGGGTGGAGCCAGAAATTTCAAGCAGAATTGAGGATCTACAAAGTACCCTCACAGCCCACTCTGGTTTCCAGGTCTTTATAGAATACAGGTATCCCCCGCTTTATGGAAGTGGAGTGTTCCTATGAAGCCTTTTGTAAGCTGAAATGGATCTGGGAACGCTGGAAAAATTTTGCATATAAATGGAGTAAAGCAATGAAGCAATTGCCATTAATTTATATGCGCAAAAGATTTTCAGCCTTCCCAGACCCCAAAAATAAACTACCAAATCATATCAAATAACACATAAAACCTAAAATACTAACATATAGCAAAAGCAAGAAAGATATGATACATACACAGCCTACAGTACATAGAAGTCATAGAAATAATGTATCAGTGTAGTTTCACTTAGCAGAATCAATACAGTCATGCATCCCTTAATGACAGGGGTACATTGTAAGAAATGTGTTGTTAGGTAATTTCGCTGTTGTGAGAACATAGGGTGAACTTACACAAACCAAGACAGTACAGCTTACTATACACCTAGGCTAAATGGTATAGCTTAATTAACAATAAAAAACTACTGTATAGTAAATACATAAACCAGTAACATAGCTGTTTATCATCATTAAGTATTATGTACTGTACATAATTATATGTGCTATGCTTTTATATGACTGGCAGTGTAGTAGGTTTGTTTACACCAACATCACCACAAACACGTGAGTAATGCATTGGGCTACGACGTTACGACGGCTATGACATCACTAGGCCATAGGAATTTTTCAGGTCAATTAAAATCTTATTGGACCACCGTCATATATGCGGTCTGTCAGATTAGTGAATCTGGAGAATTCCTGGTGTTCCGCTCTGCTTGTGGGTTTAATGGTAACACTATGTCTTACTCAGTGATTCTGAAACTATGTGTCACACATTACACTCAGTCCCACTCCGGCCCTGAATATCTTTACAGAGATACAAAAGTTGAAAAGCATGAGGACTTTGTTTCTGTCTGTGACACGGGCGGCAGTATGTTGCAATACCACCAAAAAAAAAAAACAAAAAACAAAAAAAGGCTTCTAGTACAGAGATTAATTTCTATTAAAACGTTTTGCTCACACTGCTGTCCTAAAGTCAGTGTGAAATGTAGCAGAGCCATCAGCTTGTTAGGAAGGGCTCAAGCTCCTTTAAATAGGTGTAAACGCACAGAGATGTGTTCGAAATTTTATAATAAAAATAATAAAATATGCTTGACATAAAACATAATATTGCATGTACTAACGAAACTCATATAAAAACACAAAATAAAGAGCAGGAAGACTGCATAATTGACATAAACGGCTATTTTGCTGTGCCATAGCAGGGGAGCCTGGTCCCAGCAGTGGTAAACTGTCTGTCCATGCAACAGCCAGTGATCCCTGGGGGGCGGCAGCCCTGTCCACTGCACACCTCCAGCCAGTGGGATGATGCCCCAGGGTGGCCTAGGTCCCCATAAGCCCCCCGTGGGCACCACTGGAGATCAGTGGCCCCGATCTCATCAGCGTGCAGCCTGGGAGTCCCCCACCCCTCCCCCCCCCAGCTCCACACGTGTGGCGCCTCGCACATGCTGCCACGATCGGCGGTAAGCCCAGGTTAAGCCCTTGCATCACCCCCCTGCTCGGTCCAGCGTGAGCAGACGCATCGTCACAGAAACTCACTCACTGGTGGG